TTTGAAATTTATAAAAAAAGATATTTTGAGTAAACATTCTCTGTGTTCTTAAAAATCATGTATATTATTAATTTAGGGTTTGTGTAGTGTTTTATACCAGTGCTACTAAAAGTGTGGTACATAGACTAGGGGTATCTTAGACACTATTACTGATATTCAAATGAGGCAATTTCTGTAATTGAAAGTAAGCATTTAGAAACTTTCATAGCAATTTGATGTGGCCACAACATCCATGCACGTGATCAGTGGATGTGTTTCTATGAACAGTACGTAGACATGTTTGTGTGTAACTTATCACAAGATAAGTTACATGCAGATGGTGCTGTGACCTAGTCTTTTGCAGGAGGATGTATTATAATTGATGTATTAAGGCTATTCATCAGCTATATCCCCAAAGTTAGCCAGCCTGTCAGTTGTCACACTGTGGGTTGCTGTGATGCTGAAAGCTATGCCACTGGTATTTCAAGTACCAGCAGGGTCACCCATGGTGGACAGGTTTCAGTGGAGCTTTCAGACTAAGACAGACTAGGAAGAAGGCCCTGGCCACCCATTTCCAAAACATTGGCCATGAAAACTCGACGAATAGCAGCTGAGCATTTTTTGATATAGCACCTGAAGGTGAGAGGACGGTACAAAAAGACTTGGCAGGGTTCTGCTCTGCTATACATGGGGTCGCTAGGAGTCAGAATCGACCTGAGGGCACTAACAACAATTTCCAAAGTTTATTAAAATCTAAGACAATAAATTCTTTCATTTATTTTTATAGCTAAATGTAAACTTTTAGCTAATCTCTTATTTTGCTACTTTAAAATAAAATTCATTTGTAATCAAGCTAGTTTTGTGTTTATAGTTAAATATTGTTAGTCCAATTTGGTAAGTAATAATATTAGTTTATTTTGAGCACAAATTATTAATGAAACAAAATTTCCTGTCCTTTATGTCAAAAAAGAAGCATGCACACTGACTTTTCTGAATGCAGGTATGTTAGTCAAATAATGATGGTGCAAGTAGTTTGGAATTAATGGCATTCAAAAGAGTATGTACTAATTTTACTTGGAAGTACATTCCCCCATATATGGAGTTTGGTTTTGCAGCCATATTTAATAGTGAAGTGCTCAAACCACAGCATGTTGTTTGTGAAGATATACTGGTTAATGAAGCAATAAAACCATCAACTATTGAGCAGCAACATTTATATATAAAATCTAAAGTTTTAAATTCAAATGAAAAATAATGCCAACACAAGCAGGTGTTCAGAATTTGGCCTAGAAACAGTTTTGTGATGTTCTTATAGAGTATTACTTCGGGTTGCTAGGACTAAAAAGAACACAATTTTCTAAAGATTTTTGCTTAGAATTGGATCATTTTCCATTGATGTCTTTTTTCAACATATTGGATTACTGGTTAGTGAAGTGAAAGATCAACTCGTGGAACAAAGAAAGCTCATACATTTTGTCGTTAAAATTTGGTGAATTCACAGATGTTGATAACATCAATTTTGGGGGGTATATCTGCAATCCAAATATGTTGGTAATATACACACTGTATATTACTTAATTTCAGCAAGCTTAGAATATTCATTTTAACTTTAATTCAAAATTAAGCAAGTAAAGATTGTTTTCAAAATCCATCTTCAATCATTCATCAGTAGACTGTGATAGAGTCCATTTCCATCAAATGTCGTTTGATTGTGACAACATGGATGGACATTGAGGGTATTATGCAAAGTGAAATAAGTCAGAGGAGAAGGTCAAATACCGTATGATTTCCCTCATTAAGTAGTAGATAATAACAACAACAAACAAACACATAGAGACAGAGATTGGATTGGTGGTTACCAGAGGGGAAGGGGGGAGGGAGGAGGGCGAAAGGGATAATTCAGCACATGTGTGTGGTGATAGGTTGTAATTAGTATTTGGGTGGTGAACGTGTTGTAATCTATGCAGAAATAGAAGTATAATGATGTACACCTGAAATTTATACAATGTTATAAACCAATGTTACTGGAATAAACAAAAAATTAAAAAAAAAAGTCATTTAAAGTTCAGGTTTTCTATACTATTTAGTTCTGATGGTATAACTGCAATGACAGGAAGGCATTCTGCAGGATTTCTTGGATTGAGCAACTTCCAACACAATGTTTCCATCATCAAAATCTCTTGCTTCAAGAAAAAAAAGAGTCAGTAAACTGAACAAGTGTACTTAGTGGGAAAGTAATAATTGTGAAGTATGTTAAGGGTCAACTGTTCAATTTAAGACTATTCTTTTTCATGTGTTATTATGGAAGCACATCATTAAAAAAAATTTCATTGCATGCTGAGGTATGATGGTTTTCAAGACAGGAAAGTTATGTTGAAAACATTTGAACTTTGGGAAGAACTCATTTAGTGTTTCAGCAAGCTAAGAAACCAGTTTGGCCCCAAAGTTTAAAAATAAGTTTACCAGTTGTAATTTTTAATGATCTTAATAAAGCCACCCTTAGAGGGAGTACAACATTGTTTTCCATGGCAGATAAGATTAAAGGGCAAAGAAAAATTAGAATCTTGGAAAAGCAGATTTTCTGCATATTATTGTGAAATGTTTCATAATTTAATTATAATTATCATTAAAATAGATGATGATATTGTATTGCACATTCAGAAAAGCAATCACCTGCCTATTGGCCATTTGGCTGTCTTCTTTGGAAAAATATCTATTCAGTTACTCTGCCCATTTTTTTGATGTGTGTGAGGAAGATTAGACCTGAGCTAACACCTGTTGCCAATCCTCCTCTTTTTGCTGAGGAAGATTGGCCCTGAGCTAACATCCATGCCCATCTTCCTCCATTTTATGTGTGGGATGCCTTCCACAGCATCGCTTGATAAGTGGTGCATAGGTCCATGCCCGGGATCCAAACCCGAAAACCCCAGGCTGCCGAAGTGGAGCACACGAACCTAACCACTGTGCAACCAGGCTGGCCCCAGTTACTCTGCCCATTTGTATTTTTGGTTTATTTTTTAAATTGTTTTATTGGGGTCATATTGGTTTTATAACATTGTGTAACTTCAGGTGTACACTATTATTTATCAGTTTCTATATAGACTGCATTATGCTTACCACCAATAGTCTAGTTTTTATCTGTCACCATACATATATGCCCCTTTACTCCTTTCTCCCACCCCACCACCCATTTCCCCTCTGGTAACCACTAATCTGTTCTCTTTATCCATGTGTTTTTTTATCTTCCACATATGACTGAAATCATGTGGTATTTGTCTTTTTCTTTCTGGCTTATCTGGCGTAACTATTACTCTCAAGGTCCATCCATGTTGTTGCAAATGGCACTATTTTGTCTTTTTTTTATAGCTGAGTACTATTCCATTCTATATATATACCGCATCTTCTTCATCCATTCATCAGTTGATGGGAACTTGGGGTGCTTCCACATCTTGGCCATTGTGAATAATGCTACAGTAAACATAGGGGTGCATAAATCTATTTGAATTGTTGATTTCATATTCTTTGGATAAATACCCAGTAGTGGGATAGCTGGATCATATGGTACTTCTATTTTTAATTTTTGGAGAAATCTCCATACTGTTTTCCATAGTGTGTGCACCAGTTTGCATTCCCACCAGCAGTGTATGAGGGTTCCCTTTTCTCCACATCCTTTCCAACATTTGTTCTTTTTTGGATTGTTAACTATAGCCATTCTGACAGGTGTAAGGTGATATCTCATTGTAGTTTTGATTTGCATTTCCCTAATGATTAGTGATGTTGAACATCTTTTCATGTGCCTGTTGGCCATCTCATATCTTCTTTGGAAAAATGTCTGTTCATATCCTCTGCCCATTTTTTGATCGAGTTGTTTTTTTTTTTTTGGTGGTGAGTTTTATGAGTTCTTTATGTATTTTGGAAATTAACGCCCTTGTCAGATATGTGATGTGCAAATATTTTCTCTCAGTTGGTGGGTTGTCTTTTCTTTTTTTTTATGGTTTTGTTTCCCTTGCAGAAGACTTTTAGTCTGATATAGTCCCATTTGTTAACTTTTTCTTGTGTTTCCCTTGCCTGAGTAGACATGGTATTTGAAAAGATGCTGCTAAGACCAATGTCAGTTAGTGTACTGCCTATATTTTATTCTAAGATTTTTGTGGTTTCAGGTCTTCTGTTCAAGTCTTTAATCCATTTTGAGTTAATTTTTGTGTATGGTGAAATATAATGGTTTACTTTCATTCCATTGTACATGGCTGTCCAGTTTTCCAAACACTATATATTGAAGAGACTCCTTTTGCCATTGTATATTTTTGGCTCCTTTGTCAAAGGTTAGCTGTCCATGGATAGTGTGGTTTTATTTCTGGGCTTTGAATTCTGTTCCATTGATCTGTGTGTCTGTTTTTGTGTGAGTACCATGCTGTTTTGATTACTATAGCTTTGTAATATATTTTGAAGTCAAGGATTCTGATGCCTCCAGCTTTGTTCTTTTGTTTCTCAGGATTCCTTTGGCTGTTCAGGGTCTTTTGTTGTTCCATATAAATGTTAGGAGTCTTTGTTCTGTTTCCATGAAGAATATCATTGGGATTTTGATTGGGATTGCATTGAATCTACAGATTGCATTAGGTAATATGGACATTTTAAGTATGTTTATTCTTCCAATCCATGAGCATGGAATCTCTTTCCATTTCTTTATATTTTCTTCGATTTCTTTCAATAATGTCTTATAATTTTCAGTGCATAGGTCTTTCATTTCCTTGGTTAATTTTATTCCTAGATATTTTATTCTTTTTGTTGCAATTGTAAATGGGATTGTATTCTTGACTTCTCTTTCTGCTAGTTCGTTTTTAGTGTGTAGAAATGCAACTGATTTTTGTAAGTTGATTTTGTACCTTGCAACTTTGTTGTAGTGGTTGATTATTTCTAATAGTTTTCTGCTGGCTTCTTTAGGGTTTTCTATATATAGGCTCATGTTGTCTGCAAACAGCAAGAGTTTCACTTCTTCCTTTCCGTTTTGGATACCTTTTTATTTCTTTTTCTTGCCTAATTGCTCTGGGCAAAACCTCCAGTGCTATGTTGAATAGGAGTGGTGAGAGTGGGCACCCTTGTCTTGTTCTTGTTCTGAGAAGGATAGCTTTCAGTTTTTCACTGTTAAGTATGATGTTTGCTGTGGGTTTTTCATTTATGTCCTTTATTATATTGAGATAATTTCTTTCTACACCCATTTTATTGAGAGTTTTTATCATAATGGATGTTGGATCTCGTCAAATGCTTTCTCTACAACTATTGAGATGATCATGTGATTTTTATTCCTCATTTTGTTAATGTGGTGTATCACGTTGATTGATTTGTGGATGTTGAACCATCCCTGCATCCCTGGAATATAGCCCACTTGATCATGGTGTATGGTCCTTTTATGTATTGCTGTATTTGGTTTGCCAATATTTTGTTGAGGATTTTTGCATGTATGTTCATCAGTGATATTGGCCTCTAATTTTCCTTCTTTGTGTTGTACTTGTCTGGTTTTGCTATCAGGGTAATGTTGACCTCATAGAATAAGTTTGGAAGCATTCCATCTTCCTCAATTTTTGGAGTATTTTGAGAAGGATAGGTATTAAATCTTCTTTGAATGTTTGGTAGATTTCTTCAGAAAAGGCATCTGGTCCTGGACTTTTATTTTTGGGGGGTTATTGATTACTGTTTCAATCTCTTTACTTGTGATTGGTCTATTAAGATTCTCTATTTCTTCTTGATTCAGTTTTGGGAGGTTGTAGGCATCTGAGAAATTTTCCATTTCTTCTAGGTTATCCAATTTGTTGGGGTGTAGTTTTTCATATTATTCTCTTATAATCCTTTGTATTTCTGTGGTATCCATTGTAATTTCTCCTCTTTAATTTTTAATTTTATTTATTTGAGCCTTCTCTCTTTTTTTTCTTAGTCAGTCTGGCTAAGGCTTTATCAATTTTGTTTATCTTCTCAAAGAACCAGCTCTTAGTTTCATTAATCCTTTCTGTTGTTTTAGTCTCTATTTCATTTATTTCCCATCTTATTATTATTATTTCCCTCCTTCTGCTGACTTTGGGCTTTGTTTATTCTTCTTTTTCTAGTTCTGTTAGGTGTAGTTTAAGGTTACTTATTTGAGATTTTTCTTGTTTGTTGAGGTAGGCCTGTTTTGCTATGAATTTCCCTGTTATGACCACTTTTGCTGCATCCCATAGGAGTTGGTATGTTGTGTTTTCACTTTCATTTGTCTCCAGGTGTTTTTTTGATTTCTCTTTTGATTTCTGCATTGATCTAATGGTTGTTCAGCAGCATGTCATTTAGTGTCCACATATTTGTGACTTTCCCAGCTTTTTTTTTTGTAGTTAATTTCTAGTTTCATAGCATTGTGGGTGGAAAAGATGCTTGATTTTATTTCAATCTTCTTAAATTTATTGAGGCTTGATTTGTTTCACAACATATGGTCTGTCTTTGAAAATGTTCCATGTGGAGTTGAGAAGAATGTGTATTCTACTGTTTTTGGATGGAGTATTCTCTATATATGTATTATGTCCATCTGGTCTAGTGTTTCATTTAAGGCCACTGTTTCCTTGTTGACTTCCTGTCTGGATGATCTGTCCTTTGATGTAAGTGGGGTGTTGAGGTCCCGTACTATTATTGTGTTGATGTTAATTTCTCTCTTTAGGTCAGTCAATAGTTGCTGTATGTAGTTTGGTGCTCCTGTGTTAGGTGCATGTATATTCATAAGTGTTATGTCCTCTTGGTAGAATGTCCCTTTTAATGTTATATACTGCCCCTTTTTCTCTCTCGTTGTCTTTTTTATCTTGAAGTCTTCTGTGTCTGATATAAGTATGGCAACACCAGCTTTCTTTTGCTTGCCATTTATTTGGAGTATGGTCTTCCATCCCTTCACTCTGAGCCTATGTTTGTCTTTGGTGCCAAGATGTGTTTCCTGGAGATCGCATATTTTTGGGTCTTGTTTTTTAATCTAGCCGCTCTGTGTTCTTTGATAGAATTCAATCCATTTACATTTAGAGTGATTATTGATATATGAGGGCTTAATACTGCCATTTTATCTCTTGCTTTCCAGTTATTCTATATTTCCATTGTTTCTTTTCCCTTGTGTTTCTGACTGCCATTTCAGTTTGGTGGTTTTCTGTGATGGTTTTCTCAGTTTTGTCTTTAGTTATGATTTGTATCTCTACTCTGATTTTTTTGTTTAGTGGTTACCATGAGGATTCTATACAGATCTCATAGATGAGGTAGTCCATTTTCTCTTAACCTCTTATCTCCATTAGCCTAAGCAGGTTCCTTCCCTTTCCTCTTCCCCATTTGAGTTATTGTTGTCACAAAGTATTCTTCCTTGTGTAGTGAGTTTTCAACTAAATTGAAGTGGTTATAGTTATTTTTGATGCTTTCCTTCCCTTTATCTTTTATGTTATAATTAACTGTTTGCTAACTTGTTCTGGTAGAGAGCTGCAATTTTCTGATTTTGTCTGTCTGTTTATATCCTTGCTCAAAGCCTTGTCAACCTTTGTCTTTTTGTTTCAGGTAAGCGGGCTTCCTTCATTGTTTCTTGTAAGGCAGGTCTAGTGGTGATGAACTCACTCAGTTTTTGTTTATCTGGGAAAGCTTTTATTTCTCTATTGTTTCTGAAGGATATTTTGGCTTGATAGAGTGTTCTTGGCTGAAAGATTTTGTCTTTCAGTATTTTGAATATATCATTCCATTCTCTCCTATCTTGTAAGTTTTCTGCTGAGAAATCTGCTGAAAGCCTGATAGAGGTTCCTTTTTAGGTTATTTTCTTCTGCCTTGCTGCCCTTAATATTTTTTCTTTTCATTGACTTTTGCCAGTTTTACTATCGTATGCCTTGGAGCAGGTTTTTTTGCATTGATGTAATTAGGAGTTCTATTGGCTTCATGTACATGTAAGTCCAGTTCTTTCCCCAGATTTAGGAAGTCTTCAGCTATTATTTCTTTGAATAAGCTCTCTGCTCCTTTCTCCTCACCTTCTCCCTCTGGAATACCTATAATCTTTATGTTGCTTTTCCTAATTGAGTCAGATATTTCTCAAAGAATTCCTTCATTTTTAAAAAATCTTAGTTCTTGTTCCTCCTCCACCTGAAGCATTTTTTTTTTGTTGTTTGGCAAGGAAGATTAGTCCTGAGCTTACCTCCATTGCTAATCCTCCTCTTTTTCCTGAGGAAAATTGACCCTGAGGTAACATCTCTGCCCATCTTCCTTTATTTTATATGTGAGACACCTGCTGCAACATGGCTTGATAAGAGCTGCATAGGTCTGCACCTGCCATCCAAACCTGTGAACCCTGGGCCACCAAAGCAGACTACATGAACTTAACCACTATGCCACCAGGCTGTCCCCTCAGCTCTATTTTTTAAGGTTTGTGTAGATTATTTTTTATCTCATTGATTGTGTTCTTCATATCCAGAATTTCTGTAGGGTTTTTTTGTATCGGTTCAATCTATTTAGTGAAGTATTCCTTCTGCTCCTTAATTTTATTCCTGAGTTCATTGAACTGTCTTTCTGAGTTTTTTTGTAACTCATTATTTCTTTATGACAATTATTTTGAATTCTCTTTCATTTAGATTGTAAATTTCTCTGCCTTCAGGATTGATTTCTGGAGATTTGTCATTTTCCTTCTGCTCTGAAGTGTTATTGTAATTCTTCATGGTGTTTGATGAATTGATCCTTTGCTGGCACATCTATGGTAGTATCAGGTCGCAGATTCCATCTGCCACTGCTGGTGGAATGGGGGGCAGTAGCTGTTTTCTGATCCTGCCTTGTCTGTTGTAAGTTGTGCTAGTAGGGCTGCTCTGTGCTTGTGTGGGCTGGCTGCGTCTTCTTGGAGAGCTACACATGCACATGCAGGCAGGGCCTCTGTGCTCCGCTCGCAGGTCGCTCTCATGTGGGTGAGGCCACTGCACTTGGCAGGGGATCAGCTGAGCTGCTATGCAAGGTGAGAGAGGCACTTTCTTTCACATGGACTGGCTCTGCACTCTCAGGTGGTTCAGCTGAGCTGTTGCACTTGGTAGGTGGGACTCCTTCATGGGGGTTGAGGTGCTACCACTCAGTGTGGAGCATTCCCATGGGCAGGCCACCGTGGTATGGTGGGCACTCCTGCGGGTCAGGCTACTACTCCGAAAGTATTCACATGCAGGCCAGTCTGCCCCTACCTCCTGTGACACTTGTACCGGCCACTGTGTGAGGACCCACGACCTGGATCACTGCTGCTGGGGACTGGGGGTTTCCGCTCACCTACTTCCACTGCTTCCCAGTAATCCAGTCCCCTCACCTTAGATGTATGTCTGTGTGGATCTCTCAGCATCCTGTTGTGTTGTATAGGGAATCCTCTGTTGGTTAGTGAATGTCCATTTAGTTGTAACTTAGAGGGGAGAGACAAAGGGAACAACTCACTCTGCCATCATGATGATATCACTCCTCTGCCTATTTTTTGTGTGTGTGAGGAAGATTGGCCCTGAGGTAACATCTGTTGCCACTCTTCCTCTTTTTGCTGAGGAAGATTAGTCCTGAGCTTAATGTCTGTGCACATCTTCCTCTATTTTGTATATGGGACACTGCCACAGAATGGCTTCATGAGCGGTGTGGTGTGTAGGTCCATGCCTGGGATCCGAACCTGCAAACTCCGGGCCAGTGAAGCAGAGCATGCAAACTTAACCACTACACCACTCGGCTGGCCCCCCTGCCCATTTTAAATTGGATTGTTTGTTTTATGTTACTGAGTTTCATGAGTTCTTGATGTATTTTGTATATTAGCCCCTGATCAGATATATGATTTGCAATATTTTCTCCCATTACGTAGGTTACCTTTTCATTTCACTGATTGTTTCTTTTGCTGTGCATAAGCTTTTTAGTTTGTTATAGTCCCACATGTTGATTTTTGCTTTTGTTGCTTGTGCTTTTGGTGTCAATTCCAAAAATTCATTACCAAAGCCAATGTTAAGGAGCTTCTTCCTCATGTTTCCTTGTAGTTTTACAGTTTCAGGTTTTACATTTAAGTCTTTAATCCATTTCCAGTTAATGTTTTGAGTGCTGTAAGATAGGGGTCTGATTTCACTTTTTGGCATGTGGTTATCCGTTTCCCCCAGCATCATTTGTTGAAGAGACTGTTCTTTCCCCACTGAGTATTCTTGGCTCCCATGTTAAATATTAATTGACTGTATATGTGATGGTTTATTTCTGGGCTTTCTATTCTGCTCTATTGGTCTATGCATCTGTTTTTTTGCTAGTACCATACTGTTTTAATTACTATAACTTTGTAATAAAGTTTTAAATCAGGAAGTGTGATGCCTCCAGCTTTGTTCTTTCTCTAGATTGCTTTGGCTATTTGGGGTCTTTTGTGGTTCCATACAAGTTTTAGGATTACTTTTCCTCTTTCTGTGAAAAATGCCATTGGAATTTTGATAGAAATTGCTTTGGATCTATGAATGCCTTTGGGTAGTATGGACATTGTAACAATATTAATTATTCCAATGCATGAACACAGGCTATCTTTCCATTTGTTTGTGTCTTCTTCAATTTCTTTCATCAAATTCATAAAGACATCCAAATGGCTATGGGAATACAAAAAGATGCTCAACATCACTAATCATTAGGGAAATGCAAATCAAAACCACAATAAGATATCACCTCATACCTTTTAGAATGGCTATCATCAAGAAGACAAAGAGATAAGTGGGGAGGATGGGGAGAAGGGAACCCTTGTGACAAGGGTTGACAAGGATGGGGAGAAAAGGGAACCTTTGTGTACTGTTAATGGGAATGTAAATTGATTCAACCACTACGGAAAGCAGTGTGGAGGTTCCTCAAAAGATTAAGAATACAACTACCACATCTGTATTAATTGTATATTAATTAATGAACAATGTGTAAGTTTATGTCATTCTTTTTTATCTTATATGTTTTACTGATTACATTTATTGAAATATTATTTTGATTTGTTAAATCTAATAATGAAAGTTTGGATTTGGATTTGTTGTAAATATTTTTCAAATTTTTATTTTACAAAAATTTTGTTCCAACATATTGGAAATTTTAAAAACAATCTTCCTTCACAACAGATAGTCAAGAAGTGATATTTTAAATTTCAAATCTTCTGTAAACTCACTAATATTTTTGTCTGTCTCATCTATCAGCTTTTTAGACAGAAATGTTAAATCTCTAATTGCTACTGCTAATTTGTTATTTTTCTCAGTTTTGTACATTTTTTTGTTATGCATATTTTGAAGCCAAGTTATAAAGTACATGTACTAATTGATAATTACTATGTATTCCTTTTGCATTGACCTTTCAATTATTATGAAATGTTAATCTCTAGTATATTTATTTTTCCAGTTTACATTGACCAATATAATATGGCTAAACCAGTTTTATGCAATTAGTGTTTGCTTAATATGTCAGTTTTTCTACCTTTTTCTCTTTTCAACCCTTTTGTGTCTTTATTTTAAAAGGTATGTCTATTGTAAACAGAATGTAGATAGAATTTTTTAACAATTCTCACCACCTCCTTTTATTGTAGTATTTACATTTATATTTAATTCCTTATATATTTGTCTAACTTTATTATTTTTTGTTTGTTTTATATTTGTACCATCTCTTCTGTGCTCTTATCTCTCTAACATTGCTTTCTTTTGTGTTGTTCAGGTATTTTTTTATTATACCTTTTTAATCTATCTGTTACCAATTTTTATTATATTTTTAATAAATAACCTATTATTATAATTTTAATAATGCATTATGACATGCATCCTTGACTTAAATTTCTACTTTCAACAGTTTCTGAACAATGTAAAAATCATACGATTGCTTAACTTTCTTAACTCCTTCTCCTATTTTGTACTTTTTCCCCTCATATATTATAATTCTGAATATATTTTAAAATGTACGAGGCACTATATTAGCTTTTAAGTAGTCCAAGTTCATTTACATTTATTTCTTTCTGCAGTGTTTCCATATGGAATTTTTTTTCATGCTTGCACAATTTCTTATAATATTCTCTCAGTGCAGACACTGAATTCACTTAGACTTTGCTTACTAGATTAAAAAAAAAAGTCTTTATTTTACCTATATTTTTGTAGGCTATCCCTGCTTAGTGTAGAAATCTAAGTTGGCGATTATTTTCTTTCAGCAGGTCAAAGATGTCATTCCATAGTCTTCTGTGTTATAACATTTTGATTTAAATGCCAAACTTAAATCTTTGTTTTGTTTATTGGGAAGAAATATCTTGCTTCCTCTATCTACCTTTAGTATTTTCTTTTCGTCTTTGCTGTTTATCATGTTGACTATAACTCCTCAAGCTTGAGGGTTTTTTTTTTTAATGTCTATCCTGCTGAGATTCAGAATGCAATCGAATCTATATTTTGATGTCTATTTTGTTTTGGAAAAAAATCTAACAATTTTCTATTCATCATGTTGCTTCCACCACTGTCCTCTCTTTCCTCTCCTTCTGATGTGCCAGTTTTAAGATATTGAACCTTTTCCTTGTGATCCATATTACTCTTACATCCTTTTCAGCAATTTATATCCCTTTTCTCTGTGTCATTTAATCTATTTTCTAGTTCACTAATATTGATAGTCTGTGTACAATGTACTATTAAACCATCTATCGAATACCTAATTTTAATTATTCCATTTTCTTTACTTTGAAATTTTTCATTTACTGCTTTTTGTATATAAATTCCATGTTCCTGTCAAAATTCTCCATTGTTCTACTTTATTGCACACATTAGGGCTTCTCTACTTCTGTTGCACCATTATTCCCAGAGCATGGCTATTCTGAGGTCTTTATGAATTGTCTTATGGGTATACTAGGGCCTCACCAACCTGAAGGACCAAAATATCTGTCTCCCCACCACCATGCAATTGCTGACATCTATGCTCAGCTTTTTACCCTCACAGCTATTGATTTATGCTGTTTTTCTTTTTTTAAGGTAGATTGGCCCTGAGCTAACATCTGTTGCCAATCTTCCTTTTTTCTCCCCAAATCCCCAGTAGACAGCTGTATGTCATAGTTGTACATCCCTCTAGTTGCTCTATGTGGGACACCGCCTCAGCATGGCTTGATGAGCAGTGCATAGGTCAGCGCCCAGGATCTGACCCAGTGAACCATGGGCCACTGAAGCAGAGCACACAAACACACTACACCACCGAGCCAGCCCCTATACTGAGTTTTTTGAAGTTTTTTTCCTTACAAAGATGCAGCATAGAAGTTGTGAAATTCCTTAAAGAAGTTGCACACAGATTTTTTGGGCTTGATTCTTATCTTTCCTTCCTTATCTAGAGTTCCCACCTGAATTCCTAGTTGTTCTGACAGTATAGACTGCCATCTCTGTCTTTGCCCAGTAAAATTTTCTGCTCAACACCTTCTCCTGTGCTTCGTGTCCAAAACTGTCCTGAGGGAAAAATCCAGGATGCATGTGAGTGCCCCTAGTTTTGCCTCTGTTATCTCAGGAATGAATCCATCCCTAGTCCTGCCTACTTTGGTTGGCCTCCAGATCCTTCAAACGATTGTTCTATGTGTTTTGTCCAACTTTTATAGCGATGTTTCATGGCAGGCTAATCAAATACAAGCTACTCCATCATAACCAAAATTGTGAGTCTTCTTATTTTGTTTACGCTACAATTATTTTAATGATTGCTTTCCCCTTAGTATAACCTGTCCTTTCCTGACTGGTGTATTATTTTGGTTCCTAAAATTCATGAAACATACATTTACTTTAGATTGTATTAATCCCCATCAACATGGTATAGCATAACTTTTTATATATATAAAGTTATATATATTTATATACATATGGAAAATACTCCTCTTTATGATATACTGAATTAATCCATTTGAGTAAAGATTTCTTGAAATTTTTCATAGTCAATACGTCCAATCCTACCCCTTAATTTCAAGCAGCATTTCTTTTCCAAAAGATTGGACTAAATAATCCTCACTAAGTATTGTGTTCTTTATGGATTCTATGCATGACAACAACAGCAACAAAAGGATCAGGTTACATGAGGAATAACGAGAATATTGAGAGAAATAATTAGAAAATAAAGAGAATATTGAGAATATTGACCTTCTCAGCATGTACTCTAAACTGTTCCTCAAACACAGTATTCATAAAACATGATGGAAACAATATTAAAATAAATTTGAAAAATAGTACAATTTCCAAAATAGGAAAGAAGACACTCTTACTAAACTAGAAATATCGAAAATTTATAAAATGAAGCAAGGGTATGGGAAGTCAAAGGAGTATGTTAAAATTGCAACCCCAGGTGTCGGAGGATGCCCTGGAAAACAACAAGAAGGCTCTAAAGTAGTATCCAGGAGCCTCCAAGGTCTTGACAAAAGCCACTGCCCAGGACTCACACCAGAGAATTTTGATCTAGAATTAGGAAGACGAACCATCCCAATTTGCCTGGGATTTAACAGAGTCCCTAAGTTGTGGACTTCCAGTTCTACAACCCAGGAACATCTTGGGAAACATGGGATGATGAATTGGTTATCCTCTCCAGATTCTAAGTACAAATTCAATGAACAGCAAGGATTTTAGGAAAGGTAACACTATGAACAAGATAAAACAAGCTGAACCAATTGTGATTTTATAAAGCAATGAGAAGAGGGCTTCAGAGTAACCCTATTTAAAGCATAAGGAGAGTTAAATAAAGGATCATCATCATGAAATAAAAGAGAAGGCTATAGAAAAGATAGATATAATTGTTGATTTAAAAAAATAAAAGATGGGCTGAATAGCATAAAAGACAAGGCTGAAAGGCTAACTAGTATTGTTAAAGACTAACATAAGGGATTTAA